GGAATTAAAGACACACATACAGAAGTATAGAGATGTGAAATGGGAAATCAGGGGTCTCACAGCCTTCAGAGCTGAGAGCCCCAAACAGAGATTTACCCACATATTTATTAACAGCAAACCAGTCATTAGCATTGTTTCTATAGATATTATATTAACTAAAAGTATCCCTTATGGGAAACGAAGGGACAGGCCGAATTAAAGGAATAGTTTGGGCTAGTTAACAGCAGCAGGAACATGTCCTTAAGGCATAAATCACTCATGCTATTGTTTGTGGCTTAAGAATGCCTTTAAGCAGTTTTCTGCCCCGGGCGGGCCAGGTGTTCCTTGCCCTCATTCCCGTAAACCCACAACCTTCCAGTGCAGGCGTTAGGGCCATTGTGAACATGTTACAGTGCTGCAGAGATTTTGTTTATGGCCAGTTTTAGGGCCAGTTTATGACCAGATTTTGGGGGGCTTGCTTCCAACATGTCCCCCTTCTCTGATTTGCAAAGAGATCAAAGCAAGGGCAGCTTTGTCACAGTGAGCTACTTCTCACAGGAGTCGGGATCCGCATCTGCACACTACGCAAAGACAAACACAGATTAAAAGCACAGTCATCACTGATATCACAGAGCTTCCAAGTGTTTCTATCCATTTTAATGGGCTACTTGCTGCTAATTTGTCTGCAGCTCCTTTAAGCACTCCAGTTTCTGGTATTAAGGTCAGGTGTGCCTGGGATGCTTTAAATATTTGTTCTTTTAATTTTAAATCCTTATGTTAAGCGCCTAGAGCTGGCCATTATGAACATGTTACAGTGCTACAGAGATTTTGTTTACGGCCAGTTTTGGAGCCAGTTTATGGCCAGATTTTGGGGGACTTGCTCCCAACATAGAATAATGCTTGGACTGATTTCTAGGTCTCTTGATCTGAAATTTCCACATCACTCTTTTTGTTTTTAAAAAAATGCCTAACCAAAGACTAGAGTTAGCCCAGATTTTGATAAATTCCTAATCAATCTGGTGATGAAGTTATCTCGGAATCTCTTTAGCTACTCCCTTCTCCTCCCATACCCCTTGCTGTGAGACATCTGACTTTCTTAGATAAGGCAATCACATAGAAATGTAGGAAAGAAAAGAAGTTGAGTAACTTCAGAATCTTCATTCTTTCCTTTTCATTACTCCTCCAGCTATTCAAGACCCAAGTGTTTAGTAGTCTGAAATTTGTTTTGCAACTGGTGACCTGCAAGAAAGTAACATGTGTGAAAGGTAAAGCTAGCTTTGTGTGTGTGTGTAAAAGGTAAAGCTAGCTTTTTTTTTTTTTTTTTTTTTTTTTTGGAGACAGAGTTTTGATCTTTCACCCAGGCTGGAGTGTAGTGGCGCAATCTTGGCTCACTGCAACCTCCGCCTCCCAGGTTCAAGCGATTCTCCTGCTTCAGCCTCCCGAGTAGCTGGGACTACAGACGCAAGACACCACACCTGGCCAATTTTTGTGTTTTTAGTAGAGACGGGGTTTCACCATGTTAGCCAGGATGATCTCAATCTCCTGACTTCGTGATCCACCTGCCTCGGCCTCCCAAAGTTCTGAGATTACAGGCCACCGCTCCCGGCCAGTAAAGCTAGCTTTTAAAGCTCATACTGCTGACCTATAGGAGGAACCTTAAAGGTCATTAAGTGAAGACATAGCACTTGCACCAAAGAAGTCATAAAGGACAAACGTGTGGTGAGGGACGGTCTCTAACCAGCAATAGGAAAGTCCTCAATTGTTCTGCTAACTTGGAAGACTACTTGCAATCTAAATTGAGGGAGTGTAATTTCTTTCACTCAATGTAATGTTTTTTAAATTTCATCCATGTCATTTTGTGTATTCATAGTTCATTTTTATTCTTTTTCTTTTTAAATGTTACTTTTTCATTTATTTTTAAATGAACAAAAGTGTATTATTTTTATTGCTGACTAGTATTTCATCACTCAACTGTTGACATTAGGATTGTTTCCAGATCCTGGCTGTTATGAATACAGATGTGATAAACATTCATATATAAGTCTTTGAATGGTGACAAAAGTTATTTGCCTGACCAAACTTTAGTCAGGCATCTAAATCTTCTCCTAGATCTGTCTGTGCACTTCTTTGTAAAATCTGCTTTTACCAAAAGAACTCTGCTAAGTCCATTTAGCCAGAACTCCCATTCTTGCTATCTGATTATCCTCATTATCTGATCAGTTTCCTCATCCTCTCCCATCCCCCAGGTGATGTCTGATCACTCTGGCCTATCTTAAGCAAGAATCCTGTTAGGTCAGATGAGCCAGGATCCCCCTTACACCCTACTATGGTTTCACTGTGTCCCCCAAAGTTCATGTGTTGGAAACTTTATCCCCAAAGCAAAAGTGTCTGAAGATGGGCCTAATGGGAAGTGTTTAGGTCATGAGGGCTCCACCAATCAATACATTATAACAAATTTTATATCAGAATTAAAGCTAATTATGAAACGGCTTCAGGTTATAAGTTCTCTCTCTCTCTCTCTCTCTCTCTCTCTCTCTCTCTCTCTCTCCCCCTCCCCCTCCCTCCCTCTCACCCTTCTGCCTTCTGCCACAGGATAACACAGCAAGAAGGCCCTCACAAGATGCCAGCACCTTAAGATTGGACTTTCCAGCCTCAAGAACAGTAAAAAATAAATCTTCTTTTATAAATTACCCAGACTGTGGTATTCTGTTAAAGCAACACAAATGAACTAAGACACCCCTGATATTTCTTCTTAATAATGTTCCATCCACTGATCCCCACACTTCTCTTTGGTTATAAATTCCCACATGTCTACACTGTATTCAAAGTTGAGCCCAGTCTCTCTTCCTCACCCTGGAAGGTAGACCCTATTGTAGTGATCCTTAAACCTGTTTTGTTGGTCCTCAATAAAGTCTTCCTTGTTGTGCTTTAATAAACATTACTGAATAATTTTTTCTTTAACAGTGAACATTGTTGCTATTTTCTTCAAGTCTGTGGCTTTTATTTTCATTTTCTTAATACTGTCTTTCTAAGAGCAGAAGATTTTAACTTTGTTGAGATCCAATATATCATTCTTTTCTTATGTGGTACATACTTTTTGAATCATATTTAAAGAATCTGTGCCTAACAAAGATCAGAAAGATTTTTCTTCAAGTTTTCTTAGAGAAGTTTTATAAATTCAGGTTTTACATTTAGTTCTATAATATGTTAATTTTTCTACATAATGCAAGGTAAGGATCAAGGCTCACTTTTTTTTTTTTTTTTTTTTTTTGCATAGGAATATGCCATCATTCCAGCACCATTTATTAGACTTACTCTTTCCCCCAAATAATTACCTCAGCACTTTCGTTGAAATAAATTGGCCATATGGGTGGGGGCCTATTTCTGGACTCTCTATCCTGTTTCATTGATATATGTATGTATGGCAAATGCACCTGAAAGCAATAATTTAACTTAAGCATATCTGGAGAATGACCCTACCATCTAAGAAGAATGTGTATTCAAGGTGCTGAGCTAAGGAATCCAGGAGTGGCCAACCTACAGATTCCCTCCTTATCTATGAAAGACATCTGAATGCCCAGCCCATCCCTTGGAACACAGGCCATATAGGGGGATCAAGGCCCTTTGTTTTGGATTAGATGGAGGTTGCTAGGTGGAGGGTGTTAGGTGAAAATGTATGTTTCTTACAAACAGTAGCAGTTCTCCTGTCCAGCCTGCTGCCACTGGACCACCCCTGTATGTAAGTCCCTCCAACAAACCCTATGTCTCATTCACTGCCTCCAGCTCTTTTCTTCAGCCTCCTGGATACGGTGCCATCCCTATTAGAATCAACAGGGCTCCAGCACAATACCTTATGCCAATACAACACTGTCTTAATTACCATACCTTTATAGTAGGTCTTGAAATCCAATAGTTATCTGCATCGGTTAATTCTAGGTCCAATATGGATGAATCTCAAAAACCACGTATGGAAAAAATACATGGAGGGTAAGAAGCCAGACACAAAAGAGCATTTGCTGTATGGCTCCATTTATACGAGGTTCAATAACATGCAAATCTGATCTGATAGTAATCAGAGCAGTAGTTATCCACCAATCTCTACCTTTTTTTTTTTTTTTTTTTGAAACAAAGTCTCACTCTGTTGCCCGGACTGGAGTGCAGCAGCGTGATCTGAGCTCACTACAACCTCGACCTCCCAGGTTCAAGCAATCCTCCCACCTCAGCCTCCCAAGTAGCTTGGACTACAGGCATGCACCAACATGCCCAGCTGATTTTTGTATTGTTAGTGGAGACGGGATTTAGCAATGTTGTCTGGGCTGGTCTTAAACTCCTGGGCTCAAGCAATCTGCCTTCCTCAGCCTCCCAAAGTGCTGGGATTACAGGTGTGAGCCACTGTTCAGCCTCTACCAATCTTTATTCATGTAAATATTCACATGCACCTTCTTTCCATAGGCAAAACACACCAATCCTCTCCTAAAAGGAGGCAACTTCAATGTTTCATAAACAAAGGAGGAAACTGGAAGCAAAAATGTGGTCTGCATCATATCAAAGAACTACCCTGGGACCCATAGGGTAATGAGGGAAATGGTCAGAATCGGTAAGCACCCCAACCCATCATCTCCCTAACCTTCAGCCCTGTGTTTTCCATAGAGCCTGATTAAAGTGATCTGGTGCTCAAGGTTTGGAGAAGGAGAGGCAGAAATAGGCAGTAAATGGAGGATGTAGTTTGGGATGTAGTGCCCTGATCCCTCTCTTGCTTCCAGTTTCTCTCACTTCCTCCTTCCCAGATGCAATGACTAGCAAATTCAGCTACAAAACTCCATGTGGAAATGCTGATGGCCATGGAGAGCATAGGCAGCAAAATCCAACTGTCTAAAACCACCCATCCAACTCACAACTGGGTAGGCAGAGACTACCCCTCTCACTCTTTAGTTTAAAAAGAATCATCAACATCTTCCTAAGTTTAATGTGAGGTAAGTTCTCTTCAGTGTCCCCAATAACCAGGCCAGTAGACATGCAGAACACGGGAGACTCTCCGAATATTTATTTAGTTGATTTCTGAAAACTCCATACTCCATAACAGACTCAATACAACTTGCAGTGTCCCTGAAAGTGGCCACTAGGGCACTGAGGAAGGGGATGCCAAGAATGGGTTGCTCCAAAAGAACTAGTGTGGCAGAGGCTGTCCACTCGCAGATGGATCCACACTGGGCTGCAGGGGATCTTCTCCCAGCCCCAGACAGTGGAGCCAGAGTGGAAGTCCCAGACCTCACACCTCTGCAGGGACCTGGTAACGCCTCCTTCACTCTCTCTGAGCAATCACCCAGCTGGCTGGTTTCACAAAGTCTCAGGTGGGAGCCCTGACACCAGAAACACGTTGAATGCTTGCTTCGCCGTTGATGATGTCTCTTCTTTGATAGATGTTCCCCCAGATATTGATGAGTCACCATGGCCCACCTGGCAGGGCAGCTGGCCCTCTAGCTGCAGTCGGTTCACTCCCTCCTTCCCACCAGCCAGCGCACAGCCCTGGTGCAGGCGTGGCTCAGGCAGGTGACCAGAGCACCAGGCAGGGGCACTTTCCAGGCCCCAGTCTCCCTACCATGCTCTATTGTATGGATCTCCAGAGGGTCCGTGGATTCCAACTGGGATTTGCAGAAAGGGCATTGGGAAGGAGTGGGAGGTTGGAAGAGAGGCCTAGTATAAGACTCAGAAACAAAAGGGGAGTGGACTGGGGTGATCACGGGGCCACCAGGATGCCCAGGGGCCGCAGCAGATGCAGGAGTAAAATGAGGAACACTGCTGGATACGAACAGGTAGCCTGAGCCACCACTGCCATCAGCCACTTACTGTAGACACCAATTTCTGTATAAATTCCAGGCAATCCGCGGCGACCACAGCCAATGCCCCAGCTCACAATCCCTACCTGGACCCATGTGTCACCATATTCACAGGCCAAGGGACCCCCAGAATCTCCCTGGAGAAAGAGAAAGAAACGAACTTCAGAAATTGAATAGGATCTATATCAGAGCAGACTGACTGTACTACAAGGTGTTGAGGAGACATGCACACATAGGGCTTCCTCCAGCACCTCAAAGGCCCCACTGCCCAGATTTCTGTGAATATGACAACTGAATATGTGAGCATAGGAACTAAAATGTTAAGGGAAAACTTTAATATGCTCTGAGAAAATGATGACTTCTCATTTTCCAAACCATAGTGGCTCTTAAACGTCTTGAACATCACCTCAGCATGGCAGCCCCCTAAACCCTTGTATTTAGCCTGAAGTTTCTCTACAACTCCTAACCTACATAGCCAGTTCCACACCCTCCAACTCAAGCAGAATTCTGCATGTCCTTTCCCAAACCTCCTCTGCTGACCAACCATCTCAGTCAGAAAAATAGGGTCCTCTTGAACCTCTCCCTCACCCCCACTCCTACATGCAGTCAGTCAACAAGAATGGATAGGTCAACCTCAAAAACACCTTCACTTGCCTCCCTGCTCCAGGCACTGCTCAGGACTCAATTTATCATGGCCTAGGTGATGAAAACAAACATTTAGACTTCTGTCTATGCACCACACAGCTCAGGGAGTCATTTATCGAAAAGGCAAATCTAATTATGCTCACCAAAGCCCCCTCCCAAGTCCTGCCAGAGCAAAATCTAGAAAATTGGCACTGCACTCCAAGCCATACACATTCTGACTCCAACCCACTTCTCAGCCACATCTGCTGCCTCATTGCTCCAAATGTGTAAAGTGTCCCTTAACATGAGAAGTACCCTCAGACCTCTGAGCCACTGCACATGCGATTCCCTCTCCTTACAATGCTGTTTTCCTCTTTCCAAGAAATCCAAAAACTCATTCTCTAAGACCCAGCTCAAATGGCCTCTCCTCAGGAAGGCAGCTTGGTGCCGAGGGAAGAGCATGGGTCTGGGAGTTGGTACTCACAGGAGGATCCTGAGTAACGTCCTTGGATCTCGCCTTCCACATTCATACAAGGGGTGTGATGTTTATGTTGCAGGGTTGTGGTGTGGGTTAACTGAGATAATGAGGGTTAATGTCCACACTGGCATGGTGAGCATCACATAGGAGGACCTCAATTAGTACGGCATATGTTATTAGCATTTCCCACCCCAACTTTCCCACACACCAGCAGTGCCCCCAGGCAGTGCTCCTCCCTTTTGAAAGAACAGACCAGGCCAAGTTAGGGCAGCCATGGCAGGTTTCCCTTTATGAATCTCTTTAACTCAACTAGGCGTGAATAGAGGAAGCAGCAAATAACCCAGACTCTGCCATCTGGGAATGGGGAAAGGATCCATGAACTTACCTGGCAAGAATCTTTTCCTTGTTCTTTATAGCCACAGACCATCCCTTTTTTTATTATATCCGTAGTAGATGACAAAGCCTTTTTTATTATCTTATTACATTCCTCATAGCGCATGATGTATTGGTCCACCTCCTGGAGAATTTCTGATGTAAGTTTCTCTCCTATCAAAGAAGATCATCAGATCTGCACAAGTGGACAATAGGCCCCTAAGCACCCAGCATCCCTCTGGAAAAAGACAAGGCAGTGAGTATTCTTCTCATTTGACACAGAAGGCCCAAAGTTGATATGAGGAGAGGAGGATGTAAGAAACAAAACCAAAACAAAAACAGGAAGAATATTTCAGGAGAGGGAGAGGCAAGGCCTTGCCAACCTGAGAAATGACAACCAAGTATCGTCACTCTAAGTATCAGTAGTAATAGTGAGAGTGTGTCCTGTGCATCAGTAAAGCATCTTTACTGTCTAGAGCAGGATCACAGACTCTCAGGCAGAAAATGCCCCAGAAGTACCAAATCCAGCTTCTCCCCAGGGATAGGAGGGCCTACACCCCACCAACAGGAGTCTTCTGGTTCTCTCTACATCTCCAGGAACAGAAAATACCCTATCCACCAAGGCAGGTGCTTCCAATGAGGAGCAGCTCTGACTGGCAGACAACTCATTGCCCTCTGAGGTGTTCCTGGGGAGAACTTTATAGCATCTGGCTCTGTCCAGGGAACCTAAAAATCCCCCCAAACCAGTCAAGCACCGTGCCCCCACAAATCCACAGAAAGAGATGTTGCCCATGTGTTTCTTCTTCTCCTGGCTCAGCAACTCCAGTTCCCAGGACAAAAGTCTTCCTAAATGGCTGCCATCAAATATTGGTGTTGCAACAAAAGAACTCAACCCAGTTTCTGGTGTCACCCAAGACAACCAGGAACCATGACCCTGACAGCTGCTAAACTGCTAAACTGCATGTCCCTCACAACCTGCCACCCACCAGGCAGTCTGCCTCCCTGCTCCTCTCTGTAGCCTTCCTGTCTACTCCAGGGGTAAGGGTGCCTCCTCTCTGCCCTAAGTTTGCTTCCTGCCTTGAAGTCTCACCACCTTCTTGTGTTTTGCCCCATCCGGTCACCCAGCACCTGGTCCTAGCTTCCACCTGGAAATTCTCCTGAGGGATGCAGATAGGCTGGATGTTTGAGGTAAAATTCACAGGATGATGGAGCCGGAGAAGGGCAAGGTCATTTTGAACGGCTATAACTGTTGAGAACTTAGGGTGGACAAAAGCTCTTCGGACAGGGACCACCACACTTGTGTTTTCCTTATAGACACTCCGATCTCCCATCTTGACACTGTAATGGAGGCGGCTGTGGGAGAGAGGACATGCCTCTAAGAAAAGGCCTAGGAAACATTCTTTGTGCCTTTTCCATACATTTCCAATGTTTCTCAAACTGGCCTCAATCTCCCGGGCCACTACCCCTACCACCCCATCTCCATCACCAAAAACCCTTCCTTGATCACTCTCAAACTTGGTTTGCCTGCCCAACTTAGACATGCCTATAGCAAGACGACCAATGCAGAGACCCCCTCCGGCTTCACTGTGAGTTTTGTTTCGTTGTTGCCAAATTGCCAGGGCAATGGAACTCAGTGGGTGCTTGAGGGGGCTGGCCTGGCCCCAGAAGGCCCCCCAGCCCCGCGTGTCGCTCCTCACCTGGAAATGCAGTGGCCTGCCGTCAGCACCCACGTGGTGGTGACCAGGGTGCCGCCGCAGATGTGCCTGCCTTTGGCCCTCACGCTCACCTGCCAGGGCCACTTCCCTTCCTCCGCGTCCACTCCTCCCATGATTCTCAGAGGGGTTCGGCCACACACTGGGGTGAGGATAGTGTAGGATGAAGAACTCACTCAAAGACACAGGACTTGACTCCCCGGGGTGCCCCGACGACAGCCAAGAAGGACCCGTGTCCCCCAGGGCTCCGAGCCACGCTTCAGATTCCCCGGGCTACCAGGTAGCACCTGCCCCAGCCTGGCGCCCAACCTCCGCCTGCGGGCCTCCCACGCAGTGAGTCACCTGGGAAGGACGTAAACAGATTGGGTGGGGGGCCCGCCGCAGGTCTTGAGGCCGGGCTCGCTTTGGGGTTCTCGCGGCCCTCCTCTGAGAGGAGAGCGGAGGGAAGGAGTGGCGCCGCCCTGCCCGCCCAGTTCTGCCAGGGCCAGGGTTGAAGGAGCAGGAGCCAGGCCAGGAGGCCCAGGGAGCCGCTGCCAGAGGACATGTCATGGATACCGGCTGCCCCTCTCCCGACAGCTCGCGCCCCTGCCGGGGGTTGGCTGGAACCAGGGCGCCTGCGAGGCACGAGGGGGCGAGGCCGGGGCCTCGAGGGGTGGAAATGGCGGAGCCGACTTGCCAGACCCTGGTCTTGCCAGATTCCTTGTCTGAGTGGGAAATGTCGCCCTCGCGGTGCGGTTTCACTCAGATCCTCACTCCAGACTATGTCCAGCCAGAACCCTGCCCAGGACCAAGGGGTTAGGGTAATTCTGAGTAAACTCCCTTGATGGAGACCTCCTGCTTTAGGGTCTGCACTTAGGAGGCAGGTGCGATGCTGCTCCTGCCCTTGCAGGCATGGTACCTGGCCTGGAGCTGGTCGGGATAGGTCTTCTGGGAATTCATCGAGGAGCTCTCATTCTCCATAGCGTCCTCAAATCAGGGCTTCATTCACCAGACCTAGATATTAGGGTAGGAGGACTTTACAGATGAAGCAGGCTAGACAGAGGAGTGGGCTGCTCTTCTGTTTCAGTCGCAGGGACATCTTTTAAACAGCCCGCAGGTCAATCCACTCTTATTAGCTCTGTGTCCCTAATGTCTATTCTGTCTGTTCTGGTAACTCATCCTTTTGTCTGCTGCCCAAGACCTACTACCAAGCCTCTGCCTCTCCTGGCTTCATCTTTGTTGAAGTTGGAGGAAAAACAACAACAATAACAGCTTTTGAATTGCCGTATGTTCCACTTTTTCCTGTCCAAAAGTGGACAACCATGACAATGTTTTCCAAGGATGCCGGTGCTCTCCTCACCAATTTATTGTTCTAAGTCTTGGTGAAGGGGGTATTCTCTAAGGCCCTCTTGGAGCTCAGGGGAGTGGGCGAGCAGGTCATACATCATGAATTCATCCCAATATTCCCCTCTCTCTAACTCTCTCTCTACATTGAACAAGTGTAGGGACCAGCCCTACAGGGCCTGTGGGTTTTTCTCCTCATGTGTGGAGACGAGAGATCGTAGATATAACGACATAAGACAGAGACAGAAAGAAAAACAGCTAGACCCCAGGGGACCACTACCACCAAGACCTGTAGTGGCCTGGACTCACTGCTATTTATTGTATTCTAGGCAAGGGGGCAGGGTAAGGAGTATGAGTCGTCTCAAAAGATTGATAAGGTCACGCAAGTCACGTGTCCACCGGACAGGGGGCCTTTCCCTTTGTGGTAGCCAAGGCAGAGAGGAAAGGCAGCATACATCAGCATTTCTTCTATGCACTTATCAGAAAGATCAAAGACTTTAATACTTTCACTAATTTTGCTACTGCTATCTTCTAAGAACTTAAAAGGAGGAGCCAGGTGTACAGGTGGAACATGAAAGTGGACACGGAGCATGACCATAGAGGCACAGCACCACAGGGAGATGTTTATGCCTCCAGATGACTGTGGGCAGGCCTGGCCAATGCCAGGCCTCCCACAAGAGCTGGTAGAGCAGAGTGTTCTCTAACTCCTCCAGAAAAAGGGAGACTCCCTTTCCTGGTCTGCTAAGTAACGGGTGCCTTCCCAGGCACTGGCACTACCGCTAGACCAAGGAGCTCTCAAGCGGCCCTTATCCGGGCATGACAGAGAGCTCACACTCTTGTCTTCTAGTCATCTCTCACAGTGTCCCTTTAGCTCCTAATTCTGTATGGCCTGGTTTTTTCTAGGTTATAATTATAAAACAGAGATTATTATAATAATAGAACAAAAAGTAATACTACAAACTAATGATTAATAATAATTATATCTATATCCTATTTCCAGTATAACTTTTCTTAATTTAATTATTTCCTTTATTATACTGGAATAGCTTGTGCCTTCAGTCTCTTGCCTCGGCACCTGGGTGGCTTGCCGCCCACAAACAAGGAATTTCTGACATATCACACTTGGTAGCCAAGTGTGGGCCACCACTGAGTTCAGGTTTAAAACAACCAAGTAGCAGCCAGGCACAGTGGCTCACACCTGTAATCCCAGCACTTTGAGAGGCCAACACAGGAGGACTGCCTGAGCCCATGAGTCACGAACCCATATCCAGCCTGGGCAACATGGAGAAACCCTGTCCCTACAAAATATAAAAAGATTAGTTGGACATGGTAGCCTGTGCCTGTTGTCCTAGCTACTCAGGAGGCTAAGGTGGGAGGATCCCTTCAGTCCAGGGGTTCCGGGCTGCAGTGAGCCATGATCGCACCACTACACTACAGCCTGGATGACAGAGCAGGACTCTGTCTCAAAAATAAAAATAAGCAAGTAAACATGTAAAGCAAGGGTGTCCAATCTTCTGACTTTCCTGGGCCACACTGGAAGAAGAATTGTCTTGGACCACACACAAAATATGTTAACATTTATGATAGCTGATGAGCTTTAAAAAAATCACAAAAAAAATAATGTTTTAAGAAAGTTTGTAAGTTTTTCTTGGGCCACATTTAAAGCTGTCCTGGGCTGTATGTGGCCCATGGGCTGCAGGTTGGACTAGCTTGATGTAGAGTCACTTTCACCTGCCTGTTTGGTATCTACAAACAGACACCAGCAAACTGAATTCAGAATTTCTGGTAAATGTACTCCTGGTAAATTTGGGCCCAAGCCTCTCTAATCAAGAGTCTGCAGAATCCAATCCTATACATATCTCCCAAGTTCTTTCCCATGAAAGTTAGCAAAATCTTGCAGTTCTTTTTGTAAGGAAGCCTTCTCCCCCTGGGTTGTACTTTGTATCTGTCCTTCCAGAGCATGCTGGGATCTGACTGTACTTATTAGGTCTAGAGGCAGTAAAGATCTGCTGAAGTGGTATGGGTCTAGAGGCGGTAGATCTTTAGACCTACTAGAGGTAGGTATGGAACTGGCATGCCCTTACCCTATAACTTCCTCAGTTGAAGTCAATACAGTAGCTCTAGGGTAGAGAGGACCACCCTTGTCAAAACAGAGGATGCACTGCTTCTGTTAGCAAGGGAGGTTCAATGTGGCTGGGAGTCAGATGTCCTAAATCTATCCAAATGTGCCTCATTTAAATTTTCATGGTCTCACTCTTTCCCAATCAATGCCCTGACTTTTATGTAAGAATTATAATGAAGCTGTTAATTCCATTTATGTTGAAATCCAGCAACCCAAAAGATGAGATACTACATTTTATTTTCAACTACATCAATCCTGTAGTGACAAGGAATATGAAGTTATTTCAGGAAATCATAGAAGCTTTTAATCCAAGAAACTAAAATTCAAGATTGCCATTTGCCTTCTTTAAAATTTTCGTGTAGTAATAAGTAACCAGTCTTCCCCACAGTCCTTATATCTTTCATTTCCACAGTAACATCTATTGTGGCAGCCTGTTATCTTTTAATGAACTGTGAAAAGCAGAGTGTGGCCTAGAGTGAGACTTTAGAATCTGTGAGAGCTGCAAACACAAAGCAAATTTGCATCTACTCATAGGCACTTCTCCACAAACTTCCACCAGGTCTTCAAGAGAAAGATTAGAGGCAGGGCAAGAGACCAAAGAAAGCCTTGCCCACGGTGCAGTCTTTGGGGAGGTGAGCAGAAGCCACTGTGGGAAAGGCATGACATCTGGCCTGGATCCTCTACTCTGTTTCCCAGCAACTCTACCACCACCACTAACACTACCACTACCACAAACACACACACACGCACACACAAATACACCAACCCTTTGCCACCAGGGGTTCAGAGGGGGCATAAAAATGTCACTTCCAGGGCATAGATAAAAGCCTATTATAGCTGCGTGAACATAACATTAAATATCCTCTATTTCTCCGGGAGAAGTAGGAAACTGTGCTGCTCCAAACCTTTAAAGATTATCTATTCTGGGAGAGGGGCAAGGTCACTTAGAAGGCCCCATGACTAAGAGCCAAGAACATAGCACTTGCCTAAGAGTGAGGCTGAGCCAGAACAATAAAGAAAGCCCCCATTACCAGGATAGCAAGTGTCCAGGAACAAGTAATAGCTGACTGCTGCTGGAAGAGTGAGGGTAAAAGCACAGAAAGATATCCTCTCTTAGACATAGGCACAAAGAGAAGACCAATGACCGTGATTTGAACAGACACTGAGAAAAACTCTCTAACAAACCAGCTACCACTCTAAGCAAAAAAATAATACTGGAAGAATTTGAATTATGTACTTTTTGAGAGTAACCATACTAACAACAAAACCTGACACATTGTCTCAATGCCTCCTCCTTAAAGAAAAGGCATGTCCATTTCTGGACATAAATAGTGTTTACCCAAGTCTCCACTAGCCTTCACAGGAAGGCTTTAGCTTTCAACCAAAAATTACAAGACACATAATGAAACAAAAAATAACACATTATCAAGAGACAAACCAATCAACAAAACCAGACTCAGCTGTGACATAGATTTTGGAACTATTACACCAGGGGTTAAAAACACTATGATGGATGTATCTGTAGACTCTAGTGCACAGGTCAACAAAAGTTTTCTGCAAAGGACCAGATAGCAAACATTTTAGGATTTGCAGACCATAAGGCAAAACTGAGGATATTATGTAGGTTTTTATATAGCAACAAGATAATTTTCCCACAAAATTATAGTCATAATACTAATTGCATATAATATTTGCTAATTCAGATCTACTAATGAGAGGTATAACATTGTTTTAAGGGGAGTATAACATTTTACTTATTGGGGTTCAAGTTAATGTTCTCTATTGTCAAAATCAATTGCACATTTTCTGTTAATGGTGAGCCATAATGATATTTTACACACTTCATCTTTTCTTTTTTTTATTTTTTATTTTTATTGTTTTGAGACAGGGTCTCTGTCTCTTGCCCAGGCTGGAGTGCAGTGGTGCAATCTTAGCTCACTGCAACCTCTGCCTCTCTGGCTGAACATGTGGAGAAATAGTAAATTCTCTAAACTGTGAAGCAGTCTCCCAGTCACACACACACATCCAGTGGTAAATACTGGAAGTAAAACTGACTAAAGGAGCTTACCTACAACCACCAACAAATGAGTGATGCATGAAAATTGGAATGCAAGACTTAATATTATTACGGTGACAATATTATCCAAAGTAGCTCAATGCAATCCCTATCAAAACCCCAATGATTTTTTTTGGCAGATATAGAAAAACCATTCTAAAATTCATCCGGCATCCCAAGCACCCCGAATAGCTAAAACAATCTTGAAAAAGAGAATAAAATTGGAAGACTCACACTTTCTGATTTGAAAATTTACTACAAAGCTATACTAATTAAAACAGCATAGTATTGGCATAATGACAGACATACAGACCAATGGAATAGAGAACCCAGAAATAAACCCTCTCATATATGGTCAAGTGATTTTCAACAAGGATGCCAAGAGCATTCAATGGAGAGAGGACAGTCTTTCCAAAAAATAGTGCTGGGAAAAATGGATATCCATAAGCAAAAGAATAAAGGTAGACCTTTACCTTACATCATATATAAAAATTAACCCAAAATGTATCAAAAACCCCATGTATGAGTTAAACTATAAAACTCTTAGAAGAAAACATAGGAGAATGTCTTCATGATGTTGGATTTGGCAATGATTTCTTGGATATGACACCAAAAGCACCGGCACAAAAGAAAAAAATAGACAAACTTTTTAAATAAAAATTGGTAGCCTTGTGCTATGAAGGACACTATCAAGAGAGTAAAAAGATACCCCACAGAATGGGAGAAATATTTTCAAATCATATACCTGATAAGGGATTAATATCCAGAATATATAAACAACTCCTATTACTCGAAAACAAAATGACAATTCTATTTTAAATGGACAAATAAATTTGTAAATAAACTTCTTCTCCAAAGAATATAAATAATGGCCAGTGAGCACATGAAAAGATGCTCAACATTGAGATACTCAATCATTAGGGTAATGCAAATCAAAACCAAAGTGAGATAACACTTCATACCCACCAAGATGGTTAATTAAAAAGAAATGAACAGAACAGAAAATAACATGTATTGGAGAGGACATGAAGAAATTTGAATGCCATGCCTTGCTGGTAGGAATGTCAAATGGTGCAGTGACTGTGGAAAACAGTATGACAATTCCTCAAAAAGTTAAACATAGAATTACCATATCACCCAGTAATTTTCAATTCTAGGTGTATACCCAAAAGAAGTAAAAGTAGGGATTTTGAATCTGTTTGACAGATACATGTTCGTGTACCCAAAATCTGTGAATATGTTACTTTACATTGTAAAAGGAAATTTATAGATGTGATTCAGGTTCAGGACCTTGAAATGGGGATATTACCCTGGATTATCTGGAAGAGCCCAGTCTAATCACATGAGTCCCCAAAAGTGGAGAATTTTCACAGGGAGATAGGACACCAAACAGTCAGAGAGATGTAACACTGCTGGCTTTGAAGATGGAAGAAGGGGACCAGAAGCTAAGGAATGCTGGTGACCTCTAAAATCTATAAAAATCAAGGAAACAAATCCTCCTCTTGGCATCCAGGAGGAACTGGCCCTACCTGGCTAATTTTACTTATTTATTTATTTATTTTTGTAGAGGTGGGGTTTTGCTATGTTGCCCAGGCTGATCTCAAACTCCTAGGCTCAAGCAATCTTCCTGCCTCAGCCTCCCAAAGTGTTGAGATTACAGGCATAAGCCACCAGACCCAGCCACAAATGTTCTGTAACAACCATTCTCAGCTCATAGGCTAAGAGGAGGGGACCAGATGTGGTCTATACTCAAATGTTACCTCCTCAATGAGGCCTTCCTAGGACACCC